AGAGCCTATAAAATGCCTGACTGCTAAGGCAGAGTTAGCTACCAGCTGAATTCCTGATTTTTGGCAGAGTTTTGTGCATGGCCAGACCAGCTGTTACCTCTCTGCAGAACATGAAGTCCCTCCTTGCCCTGCCCATGTCCTTCAAACATAATGAAGTGGAAATGCAGAAGCAGGAGGATAAGCTCTGCGGTAGTGTTTCCTCACTGGCAGCAAGACAGAGTGAAGCAACAGGATATATAAAAGGGTTTCAGCAAGACGAAGAGTAAAGTTCTGGACTATTTTCCTTTTGTTTAATCTTTGCCACCTGCCTGAGAAGGCCTCATTTTCTTCAGTTCAGTTTAATCGCTGTATTTAAATATGTGTGTAAAAAAACAGCAACAAAACCCCATCTGCATGAAACCAAATTTGATATTCTCTCCCTCTCTTAATGTGATCCCATGAATTTCTTGCATTGTTGTCCCCCATGTACTAAGGGTCCCATGCAGAGAGCAAACAATAAAGCAGCGAGAAGACAGATGCTCTGCTAATGGGAAACCAAGGAGAAGAGAGTCTGTGAGGGATTACAGGCAGCCTGGGGTTGGAATACATTATTAGCATAGCACCCAATTCAGAAATTAGTTTTCAGAAGTAAATGCCTGAAGCATTTTGGCAAAAACTCTTGATCATCCCTCTCGAAAGCCCTTAAAGCATGAAAGAGTAGGAATCTCAAGCCTGGGCTGAGCGATCGCACTCGGTGACTTTGCAGTGCTGTAACGGCGAATTGCAGTTTTTACGGCTTCATACCATTACCGGGGCAGCGACTGCCACACCTACTGAAATGTAACCCGCTCGATCTGCGCGCACAGACCTTTAGCAGGTTTTTGGGCATCCTCATCAAAGAAGAAAATTGGCCTGAATGAGATTCCAGGGTCTGTTTCCAGGAGGAAGGTTTTGTTTTGTTGAGTGCATAACAGCAGGGAAGTACATCAGCCTCTCCTTGGGCGCAGTTAGGCATGCGAAGGAGACGCCGCAACGTGTCTTTTCAAAGATCTGATGCTGCCTAAGGTAGAAACTTTGGGTCCTGAAGCCTTTTTCAAGCATACTGTTTTCTGAACGTTTTTGCTTTTTGAAAATCGTGATGAGAACATCAAACTTTAAAAGATCCTGAGTAGACAACCAAGATTGGTTACAGGAGTGAGGGGCAGACAGGAGAAATTGTTTCTCATAGTACTTGGTGGGATTATCCTCCATGCATAATTGTTCATTATGTGCTCAAAATTCATTGTTAATTTCTTTTGGATGTATTGCACATTAGACAGAAGAGTTATAAACCCCAAGATTATCGCAGGAGGACTCTAACGGGCCTAAATATTCAGGACAGAGAGGACTTGTTTTCCTCTTACATTGAAACAAAGACTCTTGGACAGAATCGTTAGAGATTTTTTGCCTGCTTCATAATCAAAGTATAGTGGGCAGCAAAAAAAAGAAAAATTCAGCCAGCCTAAGTCTTTATTTTGACTCTTCTATTCTAACATAATGAACGTATTTCTCAAGATTTATTTAGTTTCCCAGAGTCTCATTTTAGATAAGTATCATTGTGGAGCCTGATGATAAAGTTTCAATTCATGCACATAAAGTGAGATTTTATTATCCTGGGAGAGAAGTCAAGGACGAGGTAAATATGAGAGAAAACAGTTGGGGACAAACTAAGAAATCAGGAAAAATAATACACCAGTTCTTCAACATGCACTTGTTTTCTTTGCATCCTGGCAACTAGCATCTTATTTCTAAGTCACAGAAGTGAGAGTAAAGGTTAACACTTCATTTTCACTTCGAATTTCAAAGCTGTTATTTTTCTGACAACTTCTTTCAATGTTTTTATATATGCTTAATGAGCATCTATAATGAGTATTTGGGAAAGTTCAAAATTATGCTTCTTATTTGTCCTGGGTGCAGTGTAGACTTCTGAATGTTTCTGTCTAGTTTGAGATCAGTCTGTATTTACATCATCTTACTGGTCTGCCAACAAAATATTTTTTTAAAAAGAAAAACTGGCACACATGAACCCCTTACAGAGTAAGGCTAGAATTGAGCCCAGCACTGCTTACCTCCTGAGTGAAATGGTATGTGTAAAGTACCACGTGTACATAGCTGTGATCTGGCCTCTCCACTCAAGTCTTTAAGAGCCTATACAGGCTGTATTAACTCACTGTTTCACCTCAATCTGTTTTTCACGTCTCCAGATCAAGAGGGAGGACTAGTGTGTGCAAAAGCTCTTTTTCCTTCTCCAGCTACGTCAGTAGTAAAAGAGGCTACAAGTCTGTAGAGCATAACCTTCTCTTTTCTTGCATTACTGAGTTCACAAGCTCTGGGGGACCAGTGCCTCTTCCACCCAGCCACGCTGGGAACCCACCCTTGGGGAGGCTTTTGAGTGCGGTGAGAGATAATAAAGAGGCCATTCTGCCTTGCCTGCAGTCTAGTCACAACTTCTCTCGTTGCACACACAAGATTTGTGAAGGTTAATAATAATCAAGTGCTTTAAAGACAGAAGTTGCCAATTTTAAACGGTATTTTAAGTTCTGCTTCTAAAATTGAAAACTTAGCACAACAGCCCTGTTTGAACTCTCCAAGCTAAGAACAAACACTGCAAAGCAGAAGTTAACAGGTGAACTACAAAAATTTAGAGAAAATAATTTCTTCTTTATCTTGAAACAGGAGTATCTACAGTACTACCATCAGGTAGAAAACAGTGCTGCTGGGATCAGAGGCTATTATTCTTTTCCAGTCCAAATAGATTTAAAGCACAAGCAGAGCTGAATCCAAAACCCTGACCTCGCTGAATCAGTTTGTCTGGGATAAATACTGTGATAAGAAAAGAGAAGAGCATAGTGGTAAAGGACAGCTCCCCGAGCCCATGAAATATTTTATCACTGCTATTAGACTTACTGACATTTTGTAAAGTCTTCTTATTTGGGTAATCCAGTTCGGGATGTGTTTGACAAATAAAAATTCTCTTGTTAAAAACAAATTGTGGTTTTAATTTAATAACGTTAGTCATATAAAGAGTGATTTTTGTGTCAGCAAAACCTTTCTTTCTGACAAAGTTTAATTTATGACACAATCTAGTTAGCAATAAAATACATTAATCTGACCACTATGCCATTCTGTTCCTGCGGAATAATGTTCCCTCTTAATCAATAGCTGGGTAAATGCTCTTTTGCATTCCTTATCAAGTGACAGCCAGATGGTACTGGTAAATTCATTCCAGCAGGATTTTAGAATTAGCTGGGTTTGTACTATTGTTAATCCTCCGCTGTCTGTGCCACTAGGACCTACCCACCTGTTTCCAGTAACCCTCGAGTTCGCAACCTTGAGAAATAGTCTAGCCAGATGGTTACTCAGATACAGTGCAGCCAAGAAACATCCCAAGCAGTGAGGCCTTTTTTCTGCATCAGTAAGAAGAAGAATAAAGAAAAAAAAAAACAGTATCTTGCAGAAATAGCCAGCTAGGACCACCCGCCTCTGTATTTGTTCCTCAACACCATGGTCTCTTTTGATGAAGTTTCAAGGTTTCTTCAGATTGTACGAGCTGCGTTCCATAGTGTGTAGTAAATTTGGGTCTGTGACAGCTGCCATGCCATCATCTTCTGACTTTCTGGGCCTGTCAAAGTGTCTGCAAGACCTTTTCCTTCATAATCACTTCCTTGCGTAGCAACAATAATTTTGTCTCCAACCTGTTGATCTGAAATAACATGTAATCCCCTCACACCAATAAAAGGAAAACATATGGCAGCTCTAGGCTGGGAACTACTGGCTTTTGAAGTGAGGGGACAGTTAATCCCCACTAAATAAAGGGGCGATTGGAGCAAGCGTAAGCTCTTTTGGGTGGAGGCTCTGAGGATGCATTAGATGCCTGAGCTAATTAACCTGTGCTCTTGGAGAAGAGTCCAGTTTACACTCATCCTCCCCATTCCTTGTCTTTTATCTTGTGCAGCTAAAGTACGTTTCAGGTGAGCTTTGCTACAGCCTTAACTGCTGAAATAAGCATCACCGTGCAATAGAGTACAAATAACTGGGCACCCCTTCCCTCTGGCAGGAAGGAGTGCGCACGCAGCACTTCGCTTCTGTGGGACTGCAGTGGGTAAGGGTAAAGTTCAGCCACTGCAAATACCAGGTTCAGAATTGTACAGCTGGAGTTCTTCAGGCAAACGCCTCTTGCCTGTAGGGTAGTTGTTTGGTAGGTCAGTTGTCTGGCCTGATAAACTGATGGGTTTTGTATACCTCTAAACATAGGGCTAAAAACTGACTTTGGCATCTTAACAGGGTCTGCTTTGAGGACGCAAGTATGAAGTTAAGGTCAAAAACACACAGGCAGGGAACCCGAGAGGGCTCTGCTGCCAGGCCTGCCCAGGCTACCCGTTTCTCACTGCAGGCTGGAGCATGGGCTGACGGCTGGGGTTTGTACCAGCTTTCTGCAGTACCTTACTGTTGCCCACATTGTGCAGGGAGCCCAAGCTCCTACAACTGGCCTTTTAGATTCTTCCCTGGGTAAAGAGCTTGGTATCCACAAGGCAGCTAAATCCTCCTTGGGCCTGTCTTCGTTTTTCTGGCTTGCATATAGCATTGAGTGAAATACAGGTCCAAAATTGGAGGTCAGTAAGCAACTGGTCATTAGTTTGAGCAGGAGTCGAGAGGTAAGTCCTATGTTATTTAATTCCCCAACAACAACCAAAAGACTGAATTCAAGCTAATTCCAGCACACCAAATGCAAACTCACCAAATAGGCTTAAAAAAAGTTACATTGGAAATCTCAATGGAAAACTTGCAGTGGATCCGAAGGCCAAACTCGTATCTAAGCATGCTGCAAGCGAAGGCCTGTGAGTCACTGTCTCCCAAACCTATTGTATAGTTGCTATCACATGCAGCAATGGCTGGAAAATAGCACAGCGCTCACGTAGCAGGTATTTCTGCAGCTAGAGGAGTGGCTACTAATAATCCTTTCTTTTCTGTCGTTTGAACAGTATTCAGGTTTTCAGCAAACAGCGGACAAGTGCTTTGTTTGTGGACACCTCATAATGGAAATGGTAAGAGACCTAAATTCCTAACCGCGGGGCAGCACACTTTTCCTGTGCTTTGGGTAGTGCGCTGCGAGACGTGCTTTTCCCTGGTCAGACTATCGTTGGGTCTTCGCTGCTGTCAAGGTAGTTTTTGAATCTGAGGCAGTAAATAAGCAAAAATACCTTCATGCTCCATTATTATTAAGTACAGTAAGTTGGACATCTTTTCTACCTGAGATTATGGGAAGCTGTTGTTCTGCCACATGCCAGTTTAAAAAAAAAAAAAAATAGAATTTTAATACTAAAGGAGAAAAATACAGCACAGCTTTGTTTGAAAACACAATAAAAGAAAACAGAGACTGTGCTCTGTGAGATAGGAGAATAGCAGGAGCTGTGTCAAGCGGCTGGAATCTGGACTAGAGAGGAGAGGGACATTATCAACAGTCCTGAGGCTTGTTGCGTGCTCTGTTTATTTATTTACCTTCTGCCACTTGCTCCATGTCAGTTAAAATGCATTATTGCCACTGGAATAGTAGGGAGCCAATAGTCAGAGTTCCTTTTATAATTAAAAAATCAAAAGGCTATGGGTTGGGCCAGATACTGCTGGCATCATTTCAGTGGGTGGAAGTAGGAAGGATTTGGTCTGTTCTTCCTAGGCAGAAATTCCCAAACAAAATGAAGTGGCTTGCACATTGAAGAAGTGAAGATAATTTAGTATATCTATTTTCCTCTTGCTTTAAAAACGTATATGAACCTCAGTATGCCTAATAGAAGTAGCTATTGCGTTGGAAACATGGAGGTTCAGTAGGAGCTGGAATGGAGACTTCCCTAATGAGGGTTCTGGCTCATATCCTGGCACCACTGGTTGGACAAGGAGTATTGTTCATTTTAGCCCAAGAGCAAATTTCTGGAGTTGTGTTATGCTGGGAGGGGGAGGGGGTATCCTGACTTGCATGCTTTGAGCTGGCCTTTAATTGCAGAGTCTCAGGCAAGAGTCCATAATATCTCGTCGGTGGAGCTTAGTGGCTAGAAGCTTGGCAGGTGCTCATCTGCCTTCCTCCCATCAGCAAGCGTGCTCTGACAAAAAGACACAGCTCTAGGAGCTCCAGGAATTAAGCAGTCTGATTTGTCTAATTCCTTGGCATTGCTCCCTGGGAGCGCACACACAACAAACGTGCCTGCGCTGTAGCGGTGCCCTCAACAGCGAAGGAGCGGAGCGCTGCAGCCCCGCCGGCCTGCTGCAGCTGAAGCTGTTGAAGGCTGACAGTGCAGCTGAGCGGGGAGTTGCTCTGTGCAAAGGGGTGGCTGCACAACCACGCCAGGCTAACAGCGTGTTACGTAGCTGCCTGGGCAGCAGCACACGCAGAGATGGGTTGTTCTGGCCAGGAACAGGCTTGCCAACCAAATGGCGTGTGATGCCACTCACTGAAGAGCTTCATTAGAGGGGAAAAAAAGTTAAATTGATTTTATGCGTTTTCCCGTGTGCCACTTCTTATTTCCTGATGATTTGATCTTTATTCATAGAATCATCTAAAGGGCCATGAGATCGTAGACTGTGGAGGTTTTTCATCTCCAGCTTAGCAGCAGTGCTCAGCTTGGAGCTGCTAATAGGAGATACTTTTTGAAATTGCCTTCCAAAGGTATTTCTTGTACCTGAAACGTATGCAATTGGTGCAGTAATCTGTTGAGAGCTGCCTGTAGATGATACCATGTCTCACTCCTCCCAGAGGCTTGTTCATGGGCTTGGTGCATCCTCCTTGATGTCCCAGTGCCACACTGAGATTTACATATGAGGATGCCGGGAGGGAGAGGATCTGTTCTGTAGTAATGTAGCTGGGACTTCATCAAGTCTTTCTTTCCATGAAGCCTTTAAGATGCAGTAGGGAAGGTCAGCATGGGAAAAGCCTGAGCAGATGGATGGATCTGTATCCAAACACATGGATACAGATGGAATTTTAACAGAATGGGCCCATATGACTGAGTGATAATCAGTCGTGGATTAGGATCCTTAATAAAGGGACACCGATTTATTTGATTGTTTTGTTGTTTTACTCTTTGAGTAATGACTGGTTTGGAATCTGCCTGTCACAGCCTGTTAAGTTTTGTGAATTAACTCTGTATCCCAGTAACTTTTATTTGGCTGCAACAGATTTTCCAAGAAGTGGTCTCTGAAGCCGTTTTTAATTTCTGTTGGCAGTATTGGCCTTGCAGAGCTAAGATTGATGGTCGTTAGCCTGATTTTCATGTTCTCTCTCTTTATTGGGAGCCTACTGAAACCCACTGAAATAAGCAAGTTGATTGTTTTAAAAGGCCCCTTGCTGACAGATCTGCAGAGTGGTAATTTCATCCTGAAGTGCTTTTCTCACTCTTGTTATTAAGTATCAGACACAGCACTATATGGAAGGGTTTCTCATAGAATCACGCATCCACTTATTTTGCTGTTTGTCTCTTAAGATCTTACAGGCCCTTGGAAAGTCATACCATCCTGGCTGCTTCCGCTGCGTGGTGTGTAACGAGTGTTTGGATGGAGTCCCCTTCACTGTAGATGTGGAAAACAATATTTACTGTGTCAAAGACTACCATACGTAAGTAAACGAACCCCATTGCATGCTTGGAAAAATTATAGTAGTTAAATTATTGGAATACATATAAGCCTTGTAGTAGATAAAAAGAGTTATTCCTGTTCACTCAGATGTCCCTCAGGTACTGCTCTCACATGTTGCATTTGTAAAGTATTTTATTTATATTTGTGGGCCCCACTGTGGCATACAGTGACCAGGTGAGGTTAAAAATCCAAGTTGTGTCAGAGGACTTCTCTGCTGGCTGTTTCTCTACTTTTCAGGACTTTCAATACTGATTAGACTAGGCTAATTCTGCAAGTGATGGTAGGTTCTGCTGGCTGTTTCTAAGAGTCAGGTTTTTGGTAGTGCATGACCCTGGAAAGTGTAAGTTAGGTTGACCTAGACAGGACAGGAGACATGTAATTAGCAGCTAGTGTTAGAATGATTTTAGCCTCACCTGACAAAAACTTTTGTGGTTTAAGTGATTGCTTTTGGACTCCTTTCTGCTCCCACTCAGAGGCAACGTGCATGCTCTTAGCTCCAGTCAACCAATAACTTGGCTCATGCAGCAAGAGCAAATCACTCTGAACTCAACCCTGTTGGTACTAAGTTGACTGTTTTACAAGGATAGAGTGAAAGTTGGCCCAGTGATTCTCATAAAACGCAGCTGTGGATAAGACGACTAGGTGACATATTTAAGTAGATCCTGGCCACAATCAGCCCCTCTTGTTTAGCATGGTTAAGTCTTCCCGATGTCAGATGGTGACAGTCCTCAAGTCAGGAGCTGCTCTACAGTCAAAGCAGCAAGTCTGTGGAATAATTTGAATGGCTTTATGAGTAAAGGAAGGTGACAGAAAGGGCATATGTGGGAAGAGGGCTGGATTCAGTATGCCTAGAGGCCAGGAAGACCTAAGCAATAAAGTTGGGATAGGTCATCCTCTTCTAAATCTCCTTTTCCCTAAATATCATCAAACATTTAGAGGTGTTTCAAATCCTGTGGATTTTGCTAAAACCAAAGCATGGGCAGAACAACTCTTTTGGTTCTACTTTTTTGAAGAAGCTTTAAATGTGATTTGAACCCTTTTCCTCTTGCACCCTAGGGTCTTTGCACCAAAATGCGCTTCCTGTAACCAGCCGATCCTACCACCACAGGTATGTGTCAGCAGGCACTGACTCTTTAGAGAAAACAACCGTTGGCATACCAACACTTTGTAAAGACACATTCGATGCTTTTCCTCCCTCTTCCAGAATCTGTACCATATCAGATATGGAATTAAATACAGTTCAGCAGTAATGTCATTCCCAAACATTCCCAGAGGTTGTAATAGTCATACTACTTAGGCAGCATAGTACTTTGTATCTTTAGGGTGCTTTCCAGGTCTTAATTATGCTGTTATAAATCTCATTTAATTGAAAGCCCTGACTGGGGCTCCAAGAACAACCCAAGAGGTAAAGCCCTGTTTATTTTTAGAATCTCCCATTAGCTCAAGTAGCAATTTTCCTTGTCTGCTACGTTTGCATTTCTGATGTGGATCTGTTAAGATGCCCAGAACTTGAAAAGACATCTGCGGGTTATCCTGACCCTGTGAAAAGGCCACACAGTCTGTCATCCTGGGGTGGCAAAGTAATGAAAGTGCTTAAAGAGGTGGAAAAGGCAGCAAAACAGTTGGCTAAAAGGGAAGCCAGGTGAATGACCTCAGCTTATCCTGACAGTATAGTTAACACAATAAGACTTCTGTATTAAGACATCCCTTTTTTGCCTGCCTGCAGCGGTGCTCCCTCATGCTCTGGTGGGTGCAGGACCCTCTGAGTTCCCATTGCTGAGGTCACTGATGAGCTCATTTGTAAGCAAGGGCCTCAGCACCTCATTTCTTTTCCTCTTGTCGTGTTTGTAGAGCCAGAGCTTGCATCCTATAAGCTCCTGTGCCCCAGTTAAAGGCTGAGCCTCTCAGCATGCCCACCTTCATCACTCTGGACATTACTCTCTATTTTGATGATTATTTCTGTTAAATGGCCATGTCTCACATAATTAAAAACCTTATAAAGGCTGAGCCAGAACTGCTTGTCCTGGTGATGGGATGTGAGGAGAAAACTCCTATGTAAATTCCACTGGATTTGTGTCTTACAAAATTACTTTTTTTTTTTAATTTAAAAAAAAGCAGTCCTACTGCTGACTCATCTGATGGCTAGCAGGATAGACTCCACATTCTTTCCCATGGAGGTTAGTTTAAGTCTGGCAGTGCAGGTACTAACTTGCTCACAGATTCTCTCAGACATAGTCTACGTCATATCTGATGCTCTAACCACACCTGGAACTGGAAACAATGCAAGGCAACAAATTTAATGAGCT